AGCAACCCAACGGGAAATTCATTGAATCACAGAATCATAGAATAACGGAGTTGGAAGGGACCTCTGGAGGCCATCAAGTCCAACCCCCTGCCCAGAGCAAGACCAATCCCAACTAAATCATCCCAGCCAGCGCTTTGTCAAGCCTGACATTAAAAACTTCTAAGGAAGGGGATTCCACCACCGCCCTAGATAACGCATTCCAGTGTTTCACCACCCTCCCAGTGAAAAAGTTTTTCCTAATATCCAACCTAAACCTCCCCCACTGCAACTTGAGACCATTACTCCTTGTTCTGTCATCTGCTATCACTGAGAACAGTCTAGATCCATCCTCTTTGGATCCACCTTTCAGGTAGTTAAAAGCAGCTATCAAATCCCCCCTCATTCTTCTCTTCTGTAGACTAAACAATCCCAGTTCCCTCAGCCTCTCCTCATAACTCATATGTTCCAGTCCCCTAATCATTTTTGTTGCCCTTCGCTGGACTCTCTCCAATTTCTCCACATCCTTCTTGTAGTGTGGGGCCCAAAACTGGACACAGTACTCCAGATGAGGCCTCACCAATGTCGAATAGAGGGGAACGATCACGTCCCTCGATCTGCTGGCAATGTCCCTAACTTATACACCCCAAAATGCCATTGGCCTTCTTGGCACACTGTTGACTCATATCCAGCTTCTCGGCCACTGTCACCCGCAGGTCCTTCTCTGCAGAACTGCTGCCTAGCCATTCGGTCCCTAGTCTGTAGCGGTGCATTGGATTCTTCTGTCCTAAGTGCAGGACTCCAACGCTCCTACGCTTTTGCTGGCTCGTTATAATTGTCAAGGATGACTGGATGGAATAGATTAGATAAGAGGGAATGGATAGCGTCATTTGGAGCAGTGGAATTCATAGATGCTAAGGCCCCTCCCATACACTGCGAAGCAATGGTTGATGGGTGCGTCAGGCCAGTGACCGCACCAGGACCTTTGAGCATCCACAGCCAGACAATGCGTTGTCACCGTGATGGTGTCTAGGAGGCCGTGCTGTTAGAAATGCCAACTCTTCATCCCTCCGCATCTCCTTTTGCCAACACTGGCTTGTTCCCTATTGTATATTCCTCCATCCTATTTCAAATGGCTCCATCGGTGGAGTTTCCATTATTAATAACAACCCCTAGCTCTTATGCAGCACTTTTCATCAGTAGATCTGAAAGCACTTTACAAAGGAAGGCAATATCATTACACCCATTGTATAGATGGGGAAACTGAGGCACAGAGCAGGGCAGTAATATTCTCATGGGCCGCCCGGTGGCAGAGTCAGGACTAGAAACCAGGTCTCCTGAGTCCTGTGCCAGCGTTTCTCATGCTAGCCAGGAAAACAACTAGAATCCATGGAAGGGAGGGGGGGGCGCCCTTCAAGTCACGGGTTTACCTGGGATGTCCCAGGCAAACAAAGTTTGTGAACAGTCAAAAGGAGTGCCAGGCTGGCTGGGACCTCGCTGTTTCTCCACTCGGTCCAGCTGCAGCAGGTTTCCTGCCTGCCGTGAATGGCTCATTCGCTGGCCTGATGTTGAGCGGTACCGAGCACTCAGAACTCCTCTTGACTTCAACGGGATTTGGGATGCCCGGCCCCTCCCAGGAAGAGCCGACCCGAGGAGGAGAAACCCTTCCAAACCAGGAAGAGACTGCGCAGCAGAGCCGCGAAAAGGCAGGTGTTTCACAGCCTCCCACTAGGTTAGGCTGGCTTGCTGGGGCAGACCTACTTCAGCCACTTTCCAGCCCTCCTCTCCCCAGATACTGGAGCTCCGGGCAGGGGGAACTGGGTGAGGTTCTGTGGCCTGGGTTATACTGGAGATCAGCTGAGATGGTTCCTCCTGGCCCTAAACTCTGTGAATATCTGGGCTCCCAAGCGCGGACCGGTCACAGGAGCAGTGAGTCTGGGAGTCTCACTCCAGGCCAAATGTTTGCTCAGCTCACAGAGGATACGTCTCCATGGCCCACTGAGCCTGGGCTCTGACTCCAGTTGGGGCCCCAGCCCCTCGTCTCCCACACACAACTCAGTCTGACAAGGGTCAGCAAAGCACGCAGGACCCTGGCCCTAGGAACTTGCTGAGGGCGTGGGCCAGAGACCAAGTGACTCAGGGCCGAGCCCGGTCGTTTTGCAGTGTGGACACAGCTCAAACCACAGCCCTGAACCAGAAGGTCTGTATAATACACTATGGACCCGGTTTACAATGCAGTGTGGATGCTCAAGCCCGAGCTTGGAAACACTGCGTACGTCTACACTGCAGTAACACACACAGCACAGCTGTGGCTGGCCTGGGTTAGCGGGTTTGAGCTTCGCGGTGGGTCTCAGAGCCTGGCCTCCAGCCCAAGACCAGACCTCTACACTGCAATTTTCAGCCCCACGGGCCTGAGCCCTGCAAGCCCGAGTCGATTGACCCAGGCCCTGTGGCTCGGTGCAGCGGGCTTCTCATTGCAGTGTAGACGTACCCACTCTGGCCACAGGTCCCAGAGCCCCAGGCTAGTATGCAGTATAGACACAGGTGCCGACTTTTCAATGTGCCGGGGGGTGCTCGACCCCCTGGCTCTGTCCCAAGCCTTGCCCCCCACTCCACCCCTTCCCTCAAGTCCCCACTCCCACCCCGCCTCTTCCCGCCGCATTCCACCCCCTCCCCCGAGTGCACCGCGTTCTCACTCCTGCCCCTTCCCCAGCCCCCAGAGCCTCCTGCATGCCGCAAAACAGCTGATCAAGGCGGGCAGGAGGCATGGGGAGGGAGGGGGAGGCGCTGATCGGCAGGGCTGATGGGGGGCTTCCGAGGGGTGCTCCAGCCCCAGCGCCTATGAATATAGACATATCCAGTGTGATTGTCAGCCACCCCTCCTAGAGGAGCAGCAGCTCAGGAAGGGAGCTGATCACAACATGCCATCAGAAAACTGTGTTTGGGCAAAACCAACATTTGTCGTGAAATGACGTCGATGTCAAGGACGTATCATTGAGAAAAAGGGGGGGGGGGTAAGTCGAAATGTCGCCTTTCGGCCCAGAAAGTTTTGCTGGTTCATCCTGGAACAACCTTCGTTTTGAAGTTTACTGTCCCTTTAAATGGGTGAAATGGAACCATTTCAAATGTACTGATGGGGGAAAATGGGCCCTTGGCTGCAGGAAGTGAGGGAAAAGTTGAGGGTGGCCAAGGACCTACATGGTCTGGAGAGCCGGAGAGCGACAACTAAACCTTTCCACTGGCCCTGCATGAAGATTTTTTCAGAATTTCATTCCCCCCCGAAATTTTAGCTTTTCGTCTTCGCTTGCCATGGGAAATCCATCCGCCAGCGGGCTCGCCTCTGGAATGACGTGGGATGAGACGGCTGTGTGGCAAGGCAGGGCTGAGGGGGATTGGGGATGTTAGCGCTCCATCAAACCTCTGTGGGGACACGGTTATACAGCCCCTGCCTGCCCTAGACACGGCGCGGTCCTTAGCGGCCATTTTGTGGTCAAGCCAAGGTGACTCAGTCAGGGTGAGCGTTGTTGGTGTTCGTCAGCTCCCGATTTCGAGGGGCCCTGGCTCCCGATTTCTGACTAGTCAGGGTCGGCAATACTGGGGTTTATAGTCAGATGCACTCTCAGGGCTGCAATAGATGGGTTGCCAACACCGCATGGGGTTTCCTATTGATATAGGAACCTTTGTTGCCACTGGCATTAGCTAGCGCCATGGACGCATGCCTAGTGGGCTTCGATGGGCTGGACCTGCTTTTTCGAAAGTCGACATTTTGAACCAGCTTTGAGTTGGTCAGGGTGCGGGGGCTTAGAAGGTGATGCCTGGGAAGTCATATGGAGCACAGGGGGGCCACGAGGAAGAAGGATGGGAGGTGACCATGACATTCTGACAACCCTGTGGCAGGGTCCCAAGTAATACTGCGGGAGCTGTTATAACAGCTGTTGTGTCCCACCCCAGAGGCAGCTGCATTACAGCACCAGTGCAGCAAAGCAATCCTTATGTATGAATCGTCTGTAGGTCTGCAAAGCATCAGGTCTCTGGTCCAGCATGTACAATTAGAGGCCACTTTTCTAAAGGTGGGTCTTAGCGACCCACCCAAAATTACAGAGGGAACCCAGGGGTGTGGCACCGTGGAACACAGGGGGGGGGCCTGATTCAATCCCCTGCTCTAACCAGAGATGACTGGTAGCTGCTGATGGGGGGGCACAATTTAAAGGTTCACCCCCCCAACAACTTGAGTCATCCCCCCCCCCCCCCCCGCAGACTCACACCTCTCCTCTTACCCTCAGCAGCCCCTCTCTGCATCTCCCAGCTGTTTGCGGCTGCCTCTCCCCGTGGCTGCAGCTTGCGGCTTGCCAGCTGCAGGAGCTACCGTACAAGGAGGGGGCCGGGTCGGCAAACCCTGGCAGAAATCTGGGGGGCACACAACCCTGCATGCCCCCCGTCCCATGCATCACCTCTGCACTAGACCATACTTCCTCCTAGTTGTGGGAATAGAACCCAGGAGTCCTGATTCCCCATCCCCTGCACTTACCACTAGACACCTCCTCCAAGATCTGGACATCCCAATCCCCTCCCCTTATCACCGGACTATTCCGCCATCACAGGCGTGGGCTTTCTCATTTCCCTGGGGGTGCTCGACCCCCCCACCCCACCAGAGACCCCGTCCCCCCACTCCATTCCTTCCCCCAGGCCCCACTCCATCTCTTCCTGCCCCATTCCACCCCTCCCCAGAGCGTGCCCTGCCCTCTCCCCCCGGGCGCCTCCCGCCTGCCACTGAACAGCTGATCTGTGGTGGGCAGGAGGCACTGGAAGGGAGGGAGCGGAGCTGATCGGCAGGGCCGCCAGCAGGCAGAAGGTGCTGGGAGGGGCCGGGGGGGGGGACAAGCTGATCGGTGGGGCCTGCCGGTGGGTGCTGAGCACCCACGGAGTCAGCGCCTCTGTGCCCTGAGGATACACCGTGATTAAAACGAATGACCCTCACCTACGTTTCTACCTTCCCTGCCTTCTCTCCCTCTCCTGAGCCTCAGGGGGGAACCATGTCGCCCACCAGACTCATGCTGCTGCTCCTGATCGTGTGCGCCGTGCGGACAGGCCTGTCCCTCAAGCTGTACAAAGCCGAGTCCCTCTTCAGCTGCCTCAACGCCGCCCTCTCGGAGGCCGAGAAGAGCCGCCTGGAGGAGAACTCCCTCCTGGACAAGAGGAGTTTCGGCTCCCTGCCTGGGAAGGAGGCACCCTCACAGCAGGAGGAAGAGGAGGAGGCGGAAAAGGAGAAACGGACGTTCGCAGGGGACGCCCGATACAAATACCTCTCGCAGGCGCAGCTCAAGGGGAAGATGTACCAGAACCGGGCCAAGACCGACCGGCGCACCAAATTCACCCTGTCCCTCGACGTGCCCACCAACATCATGAACATCCTCTTCGACATCGCCAAGGCCAAGAACTTGCGGGCAAAGGCCGCCGCCAACGCCCACTTAATGGCGCAGATCGGGCGGCGGAAGTGAAGGGGGCGTGGGGGGGTGGAGCGGAGCGGGGAGCGAACTTGTGGGTGAGGTAGGGATGGGTGGGCCGGAGAGGGAGGTCGCCATCGGGGGCTTCAGCCCACCCCTCCTGGGGCTGCCCAAATGAAACTGTATAAAAGTGCGGTCTATTTTTGATCCTTAAAGCTGCATAACATTCAGATCGATCTCTCTCTCTCTTTCTCGCTCTGAACTTTTCCTCTCCTCAGAGCCCTGACCGCTTACCACTTGCTCCCTGCTAGGAGGAGGCAGATAGGGGTTTCACACCAGGGGAAGGGGATGTTTGGCTTCCCATAACACGGGCCCCGATTAAAGCAACAGTCTCTCAAGTTTCCAATTCTTTCCTTTCCTTTCCTCTCATTCAGGCCTAGGTTGGCAAATAAAGCTCGACGGGGCCTTGTCCTTCAAGCTATAGAAGAGACTGCAAAGGTTAAAAAGGGGATTTGTTACTGAGGCTCTGGGACCCAGACAAGACCCTGTAACCATCCCTGGCTCTCCAAACACAGCCCGTGTTGCATCAGGTCACCACATAGGGTATGTCTACACTGCAAGTAAGCCCAGCCTTGAGCCCAGGCTCACGCCTAAACTCTCTTGCGTCTACATGTAATTGCACTAATCCAGGGCTCAGACCCTGGATCCCAGGACCCTGCATGGCTGGAGGGTCCGAGCTCGAGTTAAGCTGGGACCCAGGGTCAGAGCCTTTATTGTTTTGCAGTGTAGATGCAGCCCCGCTTGGCTCAGGTCCTGGCAGCTGGAAGTATCCTATAATTCCCTGGGACATCTTCCTTAGTCCTCTCTATCCCAACCATCTGCAATCCCCCCCTGCTTTGCCAATGGCAGCAGCTCAGGTCAGCGTCAACCCATTGTCTTCCGATCCCCGATCTGCAAGCGCGCTATCAGACAGCCTCCCGGGTTTGCAGTGGAGAACGAACCCATCAAGCCTTTTGCAAAGCGAGCTGCTTCCTGGTGACAGGCAGGGTGGGCAGGTAACTTTTCCCACAATGCACCAAGCTCCTAAGGCTAGAGCGGCCACATTTTGGGGTGGGCACTGAGGATTCTGGGAGCTGGTTACTCTGACTTGGGTCTGCGCACTGAGGTGTGGACACCAGAGCCATAGGTTCGAGCATGGGTTAGAAAACATGGGGTTAAAATGCAGTGTAGATGCTCAAGCCTAGGGTTCCCTAACATGAGTCAGCTGACTCAAGTCCCACTAACCTTGGGCTTATATTGCCGTGTGGACACACCCATAAAGTATGAAGCCGTTGCAGAAGGGGACGCTGGCCATATGACAAGCCACCTGCCAATGGCCTCCCCCGATAAGATGCATAACCATCCAGAACATGTGGGGGACAGCTGTCCCTCTCCGGGGGGGGGGGGGGGTAATGATGCCCACAAGCTGCTGCCATCCCCCAGCCATTCACAGGCCTATGTGACGTAAGTTGGGGGGTTCTCAGCGGATGGATGTCCACACTACCATCACCACCTCCACAACCAGACCCTCCTGGCCCTGCTCTTCTGGCTACTGGGCAAACTTTTTGGCCCGAGGGCCACATCGGGGTTCCGAAACTATATGGAGGGCCGGGTAGGGAAGGCTGTGCCCCCCCAAACAGCCTGCCCACCACATCGGCTCCCTCCCACTTCCCGCCCCCTGACTGCCCCCCTCAGAACTCCCGACCCATTCAACTTCCCTGCTCCTTGTCCCCTGACTGCCCCCTCCTGACCCATCCAACCCCCTCCCCGCTCCTTGTCCCCTGACCTCCCCCACCCCCTATCTACACCCCCGCCCCCTGACTGCCCCTCCCGGGACCCCACCCCCATCCAACCCCCCCGCTCCCTGTCCCCTGACTGCCCCACCCCCTATCCACACCCCCGCCCCCTGACTGCCCCCTTGGGATTCCACCACCTATCCAACCCCCACTGCTCCCTGTCCCCTGACTGTCCCCTCCCAGGGCCCCCTGCCCCTAACTGCCCCCCCTGGAACCTCACCCCCATCCAACCCTCCCTACTCCCTGTCCCCTGACTGCCCCGACCCCATCCACACCCCCGCCCCCTGGCAGGCCCCCTGAGACTCCCACTCCCTATCCAACCCCGCTGCTCCCCATCCCCTGACCGCCCCCACCATGAACCTCCGCCCCATCCAACCCCCCCCGCTCCCTGTCCGCTGACTGCCCCCAGGATCCTCTGCCCCTTATCCAACTCCCCCGCTCCCTGCCCCCTTACCATGCTGCTCAGAGCACCAGGACTGGCAGCCACGTGGCCGGACCGGAGTCAGCCATGCCCCCCGAAGCACTGGCTGCCCAGCGAGCTGAAGCTGCAGGGAAGGGGGGACAGCAGGGAAGGGGCCGGGGGCTAGCCTCCCCACCAGGGAGCTCAAGGGCCGGGCAGGACGGTCCTGTGGGCAGGACGTGGCCCGTGGGCCGTAGTTTGCCGACCTCTGGGCTAGAAACCCGGCTTACAGTGGTGTGAACAAAACCGGAGGGGGGGATGGGGGGGGATTCGGTCATCCTCTGGGAGCCGCAGCTCTGGTAAGCCAGTACTTGAAGTGCGCCCCTCAGCAATCCAGCTCAATCTGCAATGTCACACACGCGCGAAGCGGCGTGGGGAAGCTGGCCCTGTGGCTAATCCCCCCCGGACAGATCACCCCCCTGTGGCTAACACACCCTGGTTCTCACACCACACACAGCAGCACACTCCTAAGCCTCTGGTGTGGACCGGCCACAAGATGGGGGCACAGACCCAGACTGTAGTCAGGTGGCTAAACAGAAACCTGCCATGCTCGTGCCACATTCACACCAAAATATAAAGCAGCAGGGAGCTGGCGGGGGACAGGGGACGGGGACTTGTTTTGTGCTCACCTGGCTACTTTTCAAACTTCCCCACCCAAATCTGTCCTGTCTCTACACTGGGCTTTCTTCCGCCTTCCTCCCTCTCAATCAAACAGCAAACGGCAGCTCATCGCATCCAGTAGCAGAACAGCCAGTAAAAGCAGGGCCCCGTTCAAAGCATGTGAACTCAGGGCACCCGCAAGCCGTGGTACAATCCCCAGCCCTCAGACTCCACCACCGCTGCGACATGCTGTGAGTTAGAGGAGCCTGCTGGGTAACGTATGCGCCCAAGGCAGCTTATACAACAGATTCCTATTCTGCACTCAACAGACACAACGAGCATCCAGGTGACACACCTGGGAGCTGGGACCAGACCCCCTCAGCTGTTTGGTTCCTAAAACTCAAGCCGACTACATGAGAGCCACTTGCAGTGGCTCCTTGGAGTAGATCTAGAGGTCTACTGAGTCTTCAGAGGAACATGGCAAAGCAAACTCCTCCAGACTCTAGTCCAACGGGGGCTTTGCCTGCGTAAGATCTGACAAACCCTGAACATCCCACTTTGCTGGAGCCAAGTGGGGGCAGAATCTCAAGTGCAACAGGAGTTTGACGGTTGTGCAATGACACCTACCGTGGGTGGTCAGCGGTAACTGAACTTGAGACCTTCATCACCAAGGGGGACCAACCGCAGGCCCATTGAATTAAATGGAAAGATTCTCATTGACTTCAATGAGGACTGAAGTTGGTCCCTAACACTTGAGCTAAAAGAGTAGCTCCATTAGCAGGTAACAGTAGTAGGCTCTTTCCCAATAAAGAGAGTGTGGTCTTTTTGCATGTCATTCGTTAGCATGGGATTTCCTGCTCCCAGCCCATTCAAAGAAGTTCAGATGAGTGACCTGTCAGGAAACCACTAAGTTTCAGGGGTCACTTGTGGATGCAGTGAGGTCATTTTTGTGCATTTACTCTAATGAAATCAAGTGGCTACCAGCCAATCAGATGGATGCTAAATGCAAAGCTGACCCCCAATTTGCTGATAAAACTGTGAGGACAATACTTTCGCTAATCAGCTGATTCAAAAAAGTGCAATGAAACCTCAATAAAGAGTGACCGTGGAGGAAGATCTGTGGGTTTCTGAAACACTCAACAAAGTCTTGTTTAGCCAGATGGCAATAGCTCGAACATGGCACAGTGGTTACCCTGCTAAAACAACACCCCGCTCAACCTAACTAATGTGCCCAATTTACCCATCACATAATGGCCCATGCTGAGCCAGTTTTCCCCTTCACTCTGTCCTACAGCTTCCAGAATGAAATACACACAGGAACCTTCACATCTTCAGTAATGGTCGTGGTCCTCTCGTGGTCCATTACTGCAGGTGTGGCCACCACATTATTGCACCGATCTAAGCAAACCCATCCTGGGACTTTCTAGCACCATTCCCTTAGGGTCTGGTCAGTGCCCACCGAAATCAAAGGAAAGATTACCAGTGACTTCACTGGGTGTTGGATCAGTCCTTCGTGCCCCTGCAGTCTGAAGAATCTCTCTTCCTTTCAAGGGGGCTGGGATACAAAAGTGGCCATGTTGTCATTCTTCTCTCTAGCCAGCAGTGGGCCAGCTGGCAAAATGAGCCTCCATCTGTCCATCAGCTGTCTAGGACCTTTGGCTGCAGGCCAAAGCAACCAATTTATTTGATTCACCTGGAGAAGCAGGAAAGCAAATGGATCATTCCACATCGGCTCGGGTAGAATAGTGGGAGGGAAGAGGAAGAACATTCAAACGAATACGCATCAGAAGTCACAGCAGCTTGAAATTGAAATCACTTAGTAAAAGCTCGGCAGGAGTGGATCAGAGGTTTCTGCTGTCTGAGGCGTGGGGATCTCTTGGGTGCTACTGAGCAATGGATACCATGTCTGTGATTGGGAGGATTAAGGGGGGATATGATAGAGGTCCGTCAAAACATGCATGCTACAGAGCAAGGGAATAGGGAAGTGTTATTTACCACTTCGCATCACACAAAAAACAGGGGTTGCCCCATGAAATTAATAGGCAGCAGTTTAAAACAAACATATAGACACACAACGCACAGCCAACTTGTGGAACTTGTTGCCCGGGGGGAGAGGGTGTTGTGAAGGCCAAAACTATAAGTGGGTTCAAAGGAGAATGAGATAAATGCATGGAGGACAGGTCCGTCAATGGCTATTAGGCAAGATGGTCACAGATGCAACCCCATGCTCTGGGTGTTCCTAAGCTCTGACTACCTGAAGCTGGGACTGGACGACAGGCAATGGATCACTAGAAGTTACCTTGGTCTGTTCACTCCCTCTGAAGCATCTGGCACCAGCCACTGTCAGAAGATGGGATACTGGGCCAGATGAACCATGGTCTGATCCAGTATGGCCATTCTTATATTCTTAGGTCACTAGGGTTGAAGTATTATTCTGCAAGGCAGGGTAGTGCTTGGA